AATAATATAGTAATAATAGAGTTTACAGTCACATATTTATATATTTAGTGAATTTATTATTAATAATATATAGAGAGGGCCGGGGAGGTTTGAAGCAAAAAAAAACTAGTATATTTTCGTGATCTCGTAGGTTATGCTCTAAATCCATTACTGGAATTAATATCTAATAATTTATTTTTGTTTTTGTTTTATTTTTATTTATCACTTTTAGCATATTAAGAGAAAATCATTTTCTCCTTTATTTTACCTTAGCATTAATTATTTATTCTTCAAATTATGTTCAAGACCTAATTAAGAATAAACATCAAATAATATGGGTATTATGACAAAATATTCACGTCAATCAATATGATCTTAAGAGGTGTGCAAAGTCAAAATTGAACAAATTTAAAGTGAGCAAAGAGAGAGTATAAATGAAGAGGATAAATATCGAGTATGAGTGAATTTTACCATCTTTACTCAATCATCTAGATAATTTTAATTGGTAACAAATCACTAATAATTAAAATAGAGTATTTCATAAATATATTTTTAGTTAGGAAGTAGTATTTTGAAGCAGAGTAAGGCAAGTATGATTTATACTTAAATCAAGTTTAAAAATAACAATCGTCTATCTGCTAATCTTCAACTTTCATCCTCTATATCTCTCTATCTACGATCATATCCCTGTTACACCAAATTATCCTTATCGTTAAAATTCTCTTAGTTACAATATGGGACGTAGTGGGCACACGATTTGACAACCATAAATGAAATTAATAAATTAGTTGGGGAACAAGAACTAATTATGACCTAATTAATATTTTACTATTATTAATTGAAAATACGATGACATTTTAGATTCATTGTATACAACACTACTCACCTGCTGTTATACCATGGAAAAGTCTAATGAACAGTTAAGTTAATCTCATTAATTAACAAACAACTTATTTTTCATGCTTAGGTGTGCTTAATTATATAAGTCTTTAATTAATCAATCTGTCTAATACCTTAAATATGCATTAACGGACTTACTTTGAGGAAGGATTCAAAATTATGACCAGGTCGCTAGCTAGTTATGAAGGGTAAAACCGTAAAAGTTTATCCGCACGCTGTGTTTATACAATCATCATGTCACGATTCAGAACGTCGTGATTGGCATCCACACTAACCCTCCGGTGGGAGAACCATTACTACAACCCAACTAAGCAAATTAACGAAAAACTAGGCATTTAAAGATACGAAAGCAGGTTTAAATGTAGAAATTATAGAGTTCCCATAAACTCCAACGGTTTAAATAAACTAGCCAAACTAATGCGGAAGAACAACCCCTAGAACCTGAAAGTCATTGTACCAAAATATCTAAAGTGCAACAAGTCTAAGAAAAGGGGGAGCAACCCCGAAACTAAACAAACACCCTAAACAAATAGTCTGAGTCCGAAAGGAGTGGACTAAAACATAGAGAACTCATGACAACCTGGAAGAACTGGCTCACCCTTGAATTCAAATCGATCACTGGTCTTCTAAACGAGGTTTGTCAATAGTCGCTTGAAGATGCCCTGTACTCAACAAAGAAAGAGCAAGTGCAGTATCAGTACACAACCACAGTGTACTGGTAGGATCATGTGGCTATCCTACTAAGTGCAACATACATAAGCCATTACAACATAATAATAACATGCATACACCGAACATATACAATATCAACATCATTTACGAACAACGTACAATTTCACAATTCTCAAGATATGCAGTTATGTCAAGTCAATGACCCTCTCATGGAACCCACACCCAAACTGTTAGTGTACCGGTACGTGGTACCCGTTCCAAGTTAGTATGTTGGATCGTGACACCCGTTCCAATGTTTATGTCGATACGTGGCAACCGATCCCAGTTAGTGTATTGAAGCGCAACACCTGATCCATTCAACAAGCCACAATCACAATCACAAGTATATTCTTATAATCATACAATCAATTCATGATTCATGGCATTCAATTATCCGTTTATTCTCATTTACGATTAGTGTGATCAATAATGTACTATTATCATACATCCATGTATCATAATGAAGCAAGAACAAACATATATCACACAACATGAAATCACAACCATCATCTATCTCGAACAAAGCTTGAATCCCCTAAGAAACTTGATTCTTCCCTTTTCAAATTCTTTCCACTTGTTATTGGTCTACAAACAATCAATATAACACGGGAATTAATAAACTATGTCTAATTACCCGGATTAAAATCAACACTATCAACCCTAGATCAACCCCATGATCCCAATATCCAAATTAGGGCTTTTCTCCACAATCCAAACAGTTCCAAAACCCTTCCCCAACAGTAATCACCCAAGAAACTAAGTTCTACGAATCGAAAAACGGATTCGGGGAGTGGAAACCTTACCTTTAGCCTCAAGAATGGTGGAAAACTGTCAAGAAAACACCTGGGGTCGTTCCTTAGCTCTCTAAGTCGAAAAGTGCTGAATAAAATGTTTTTGGGGTTTATTTCCAACTTAAATCGCGATTGTCCCACCACAACGGACCTCATCCCGTTCAGCGGCCCCACCCTGGCGGGAATAATAGTGCCCTAGCGGCTTGCACGGAAACAGAGAGCTAATTTAAGAATTTCAAACCCCTATTTCACAACACAGCTTCAACCCATGACACTCAGAAACTATCCGTTCACACTAAGATCAGTTTCGGGAGTTCTACTCGCCCGAATTCAATTTCGTGAAATCTCACGGTTTCCTTAACGTCTTAGATATCTATTCATGTGATCAAAATCATAGTTAGATCTCCTATTTGTTACCAGATTTCCCTAGAACTCACTGACTCCGATTTCGTCCAAATCTAGACTAGGTTGAAAATTTTCAAGTTACTACCAAAAAGTTTTCCGGCCCAAAAATTTTCTCCGTTGGCTTTTTCGTAGATGAAATCAGGTCGTTGCATATCAACACATTCAATGTAATTTCATTAGTGAAATCTATGGAAACGTAATGTGTATGCAACCTTACTGCTACTATGTGAAGATAGAGATAAATTGTTTTTGAAAGACATTTTGTCAAGTAAAGCGTATAAAAAAAATAAGTACGTAAAACAAATATAGGATAAAAAAAAGTCACGCTGAAAAGAATAAAGAAGAGGAAAGTAACAACAACAACAAATATCACGATATGACTAAATTAAATTTTCTTTGATATAAGTATGATTTGATGATTTTTTGATATTTTCTCATATACAAGTCACAATATAAATCGTATCGGACAACTAAACACATTTTATTTATTATGTGAAGAGTTTGATCGATATCACTAAATTATAATTCTTGATAGTTGATACATTGTAATTAAGTTAGCTTATGCTACTAGAGAAATTGTTGCATATTAACGGATTATATATATTGGTGGTACTTTTTATTAGATGGTAGATTAAATTGATTACTTGCTTATAACTTGAATTTTATTATTATGAAGTAAGTTCACTTCGATCTTACAACTCTGTCACCCTCTATTTTTTATTTTTTATTTTGCACTCAAACTCTAACTAATCATTTTTTTCTCTCACACTTCTTGCTTGATTTTTTAAAAAAAATATTACTCACAACTTGAATTTTCTTATCGGTAAGTAATGATAACCTACGAAATTACAACTCTTGCACTTAATTTTTCTTGCACTCATATTCTAGTGACTCTTTGTTATCTCTTATTTTTACCTGATCACTCACTATTTACTTTCTTATTTGAGTACATATATATTTATAGTTGGTACTAATGAAAAAATCTAGCTAAGGATATTTGTTACTCCATACTAGAATATTTCTCTAATTACTCATTTTTAGAATGACCCTTTTTTTAGAATAATTCTAGACTTTATTAATTTCTAGAACACTCATTTTAGAGATCTGATCTTGATCTTTTAGTTCCGATCCCTACAATTCTTGAATATTGTAAACTCTTTTATGTAATATTTTGAATATAAGTTGGTAATGCCTTCTCAACAAAAACAACCCTAACGACCATTAGGTGTGAGACGTTAACCAGGGTCCCTATAGAACTATAATTTCCTATGCTATAGGTAGCTAGAATGAATATTTGTTTTCGTCAATTTTCTATTTGTTTGAGCTTTTCTCCCTTCATTTAGATTTCAGACTCCATTTGAGGTGTCCTAACTTTCAATTGAATACTTGAAATGGTGAATGTACTTTTCTATGGTCATACTTCAACCACTTATCCTTTCTCCACCTATTTTTTCTTCAAGACCCTGCTATAAAATTAAGTTTTATTAATTAAATCAATTTAGAATTCAATTTTATCAGGCGTTTTATATTTATTATCCTCAAGGTATTGGTCCTACTTCTAAATTTTGAATATTTTTGAAAAATTTAAAACATCTCTAGACAAGTCAAGGGGAACAAAAGACTCAAAATAAGTATAATACCCCAATAGACAAAATTGGGGCAGATCTAGGACAGTACTGGAATATTAGATTGGTCCACAAAAGGTTGAAAATTGAAATTGTGTATAGAGCTAAAGGGGGCCACAAAAGGAAAGAAAAAGACTAGTTCCTTCGGTAACCAAAAAGCCTCCATATTTGAACGGGATTTTTTCATTTTTAATCAAATATCTTTCGAGTACTTGATAGATTTTACGTCACATAATGAATACTGAATCTTGTTGTTTTATTTGACGTGTATGCTAACTCAATGTTCGATTTATACATGGATCGATTCCATCTTTAATGAGACATACGTAACATGAATCTGAATTAGTTTAATCAATGGGTACATAAATACCAAAAAAAAGAAATAAGTCTCTTTGTTTGACCCACACCAAGTCAACACTTGTGTTTTTGCATGGCAATTGATAAAGGAACCAGTCTAGATATAAGACTTACCTAATTAATTAAAATCGTTTAAATTAATATAATCAACTAACATTGTTTTGCCATGTTTTTTCCCTATATATAAGTACATTGTTTCTACCATAAAAATTCATCAAATTAACACCCTTTTCCCTCTTCAAACTCCTTCTTCAAGTTACCAATTTTTATTTTTATTTTTTGAAATATTTCACATATTATAATGTGTCCAACAATGAATATTTTGGCAACTGAAAAAATTAAGGAAAATTATGAGGAAAAAATTGAGTGTAGATATCAAAAAGGAGTTAGGCATTTATGTGAAAGTGGGATTACTAAAATTCCAAGAAAATATATATTGCCAATTTCAGATAGGCCTTTAATTGTGAAAAAAGAAGAAAATTTCAACTTGCCTATTATTGATTTTGCTCAATTGCAAGGCCCCAATAGATCTCAAGTTCTCAAATCCCTTGCCAAAGCTTGTGAAGAATATGGATTTTTTCAGGTAACATTTGAACTTTGTACACTAATCAATTTAACCACTTCTCTTTTTTCGATAATCGTGATGTCTGAGACAGCTTACACGTACCTGAACTAACTTCACGAGTACCTTGCTATCTCCAAAATCAACATATGTACCGAGTAAGTCTGTCCACCGAGATTTAAACAGATGAGAAGAAATCACGTTGCATTTTTGTTAAAATCCGAGACCTCGTGATTCTCAATCCACTTTATTGACCACGAGGACTCGATTCTTTTATATTTCTCATTACTAAAAGGGATCACATTTTCTTCCTTTTTCTCCTTGGCTTTTTGCAACCTTCTTCATATACATTTTAAATTCTTTAACTTACATAAACACACGTATACATAGATCGAGCCAAAAGTAATGAACTCAATTGAACTCACATACATCGAAATAAGATCTTGCTTCACTCTTGTGTTGCGGTGGTGTACATATTGAAAATATTCTTTCACTCTTAACCAGATATTTCCTGTTAGACCTTGAAAATAATGTCATCATCGATAAAGAGCACTAAAATATCCCATAGTGAACTTGTACGATACGAATTTAAATTAGTTGGAGCAGTAGATTCTGACTTTTTTGTTATCTTGATGCAGTTGGTGAATCATGGTATTCATAGTGACACAATTCAACACATAATTGAAGTTGGCAAAAAATTCTTTGAACTTCCCTTTGAAGAAAGAGCCAAATACATGTCTATTGATATGCAAGCACCAGTAAGAGTTGGAACAAGTTTTAATCAAAACAAAGATGGAGTATTTTGTTGGAGGGATTTTCTTAAACTTAGTTGCCATTCTTTGTCAAGTGATTTGCTCTCACTTTGGCCCTCTTCTCCAGTAGATCTCAGGTTATAATTATTTTAATATTATAAAATAATAATAATTAAAAAAAACAAAGTCAACTTTTATAATAAGATCTCTACTTGCATTATTAAATATCATAACTTACAAATTCAATTAGATTGCTTACTTAATCATTTCTAAAGTCAACTACTTTACCTGTTTTATTTTACGTGGCACTATAGTTTAATTATTTCCAAAAGTCAAATATTTAAGTATTATTGAACTTTCATTATTATAATACTATGTTTATGTAGTTTTTAAGTATATAAATTTCTTCAGCAAAAGTAAATTGACATGAAAAATTAATTAAATTCTTTAACATAAATAGCCACTATCTCAATCGCTTAAACTAAAAATAGCCAGAGGACATATAACCTACGTATAATATGTGTATAACCGTGTATAATTAGTGTATAATATATGTATATCATTTACGATCTTTTTCTAATAGTTACTTTTTTGATTGATGAATAGGGAGGCAGCTTCAAACTACTCAAATCAAGCAAAATTCTTGTACCAATTGCTAGTTGGAGCAATTCTTGAAAGTTTGGGATTAGTGAATAATGAAAACAATAATGATAGTCAAAATTTGAAAGAGTTTGAGGATGGGAGCCAACTTTTAGTGTTGAATTGTTATCCTTCTTGTCCAGAGCCAGATTTAACACTTGGAATGCCACCACATTCAGATTATGGCTTACTTACACTTTTACTACAAGATGAAGTGAAAGGTTTACAAATACAACATCAAGGAAAATGGTTGACTGTTGAACCTATTCCAAATTCCTTTGTTGTCAATGTTGGAGACCATCTTGAGGTCAGTTCTATTTCAATTTACGTGATACTATTACTATTTTTAGGGATTCGAACGACCTTTTTGTTCAAAACTTAAAAAATTCATTTATCGTTTAACTTCGACATAGGGAGAGTTTTGTATAAATAACGTTCACTAACCACTTTTCAGTCGTGTTTTGAAGAAATAGTTATTGTTATGGAGTTTTAAGTTTAATACGGGAACTTCAAGTCATTTCTCAATTACAACTTACAAGGGCTGAAAAGTGGTTATTTGTCAATTTAAGGCTCCCCTCTTTAATAAAACCGTACTCGACACAAATCTGGATTAGTCTGATCCCGATATAGTATCAGACACCGAGTGAAAAACCAGAAAAAATTCTCTAAATTATTCTAATTTATGTGTTTCTCAAAATATTGTCTAATTTTTTTCCCTATCAACTTTACAGATTTTCAGCAATGGAAGGTACAAAAGTGTGCTACATAGGGTACTTGTAAATTCATCAAAATCAAGAATCTCAGTTGCTTCACTACATAGTTTGCCTTATAGCTCCAAAATTCAGCCTTCTCCAAATCTCATCAATGAATCAAACCCTAAACTCTACAAGGATACTGATTTTACTACTTTTCTTCAATATCTTTCATCTTGTGAACACAAGAGCAAAAGTTTCTTGGAATCTAGAAAATTGGTTAATTAATCAGATCACGAGTTCGAGCCCTGAAAATAGAGTCACATGCTTTACCCTATAAACAGAGACTTCTCAATAGGAATCTGAATTAGTCAAGTACCAATATATCAGAGATTATAATTTTGTGTATGTTATTAGTAGTAGTGATTGTTAATTATCCCAAATTAGCAAATAAGTTAATTATTTGCAAAAAGGAGCATAGGCAACCATATTATTGTAATTCTTTCGAGCTGATGAATAAGAATATTGTATGGCTTAAAAGATCATTATAGTTTTCATGTGTATTTAGCGGTGTATTTAAAATTTCACTTTTTTTTATTTTTAAGTTTTAGTTGCATAGTCCACTATTTTCTTAGAGTAATGTTCAAAAACTCGATATACATACCTGGCATACAAAGTATTGATGTTTTTTCCCAACATGTTTAAGTATACAAATATTATACACAACTAAGTTTTAAAATAAAAATACTGATTTTTGTAACATAGGGAAACCATTGGACATCTATTTTAAGCAAAAAATAAAATAAAATTGAGGTTGTCTCTCAATTTTGACCCTAGATTTTCAAGTCGTGAGTATCGCTACATCTCATATGGATCCTTTTTTTTATCAGTTAGTAATATAAGACTTTGTTTGCACATTCAATCTCTCTCTCTCCCCCCCCCCCCCCCCTAAAAAAAATAC